TACCCCACCCCAACTCCCTGGGAATGCACCTAGAATGAATGGGAAAACTTTTCCAAGGTGCTGTTCGACCTCACCAAGAATGGCTGCATGTCTCTAAAAGAAGGCAAGAAAAAAGGCTACACGCATTGAGACTTATTATGTGCCAAGCACTGAGAGAAGGACTTTACACACCTTAGTTCATTTTAGACACCATATATAACTGTGAGACAACCAATCACATCTCCATTTTACAGATAAAGCAACAAAGATTCAGAGAGTTCAATTTACTTGCCTTCAGTCACATAGTAAGTGGTAGCGCCAGGATTTAAATTCAGATCTGTCTGATCCTGAAGCCTGTAACCACTATGCTGGAGGAGCAGGGGGAGCAACTGGGAAGGTGCCCAAAATGCAGAGCCCAAAGGGAGGAGGAAAACTGAGTTCTGTAAGGGAGCTGGAGCACATGTAATAGAAAGTCATAGTGAAGGATGCTGTGTCCCAGAGGTAGAAAAACTCAGTGGCTTCCCATTAAGCATAGAGTTAGATCCAAACTCCTTAATAATCTTGGCAATCAAGGCCCTTTGTGACGTCTCCTCAGCTATCCTCTCAACCTCTTCTCTCACCATGCTTCCAGCCTCCTGGGCTCCTGTCTGGTTCCTGAATTCACCTCTCATCCGGAAGCCTCTAATTGCTCCCCACTTCTCTTGCCTACAAAATCTCACTTCTCCCACAACTTCCCCCACCCTGCCACCCCAAATCTGCTTCTTTCAAGGTCCATCTGAAAGTTGCCTCCTTTGAAGCCTTCCAGTTCCTCTTACTAGTCTGTCAACTCCCTCTGCCCTCCCCTAGAACCATGACTTTGCACACAGCACATATTAGTGATGATTGTCGGCTCTTGGTCTCCCCATTGGACTGTGAGCACCAGCCGCACCAAGCTCATCAGTGACTGCCCAACTAGTGACTCTCAATCTTTGCATTCCACATTTTGCATTAAGTAAGACAAGTTATTTCAGTCTCTCCTGACCTAAGCTATCTCAGCCGTAAACCAAGTGAAACAGAATTGTTGGTGAGGATTAAATGAGAGCATATTGCCTGGCACATAGTACCTGCTCAATAAATATTAGCTACCAGTGATGAAATGACGTTGATGATGATTGGTTTAGAATAAATAAATGAGTGATTTTTGCCCTCAACCCTGGTAAATGCTGGTATCTCCCAGGCAGGAGAGGAATGGGGAGCAGTGGCTTTAGAGAGCGGAGGACATGCATCGACAGATTAGCTTTGCACCAGCCTGGTCAGCCTTTCACTGCCGCAGTGAAGAGTGAGAGCGACCACCCCTTCTCAGTCCTCCAAGGGGTGGAAGAGAAACAGCCTGGTTGCCACCTCTAGCACTCAGAGCAGGGCACTTGAATGCCCGCCCAGTAACGGACTGACTGGACTAGGAAGGGTCAGAAGTGAGCTTGGGAGGGAACTGGGGGTGGGGAGAAGTTGGGGATGTGAGGGCAGATGTCCGAATGAAATAAAAGGTTTCAGAGCCTCTCCTGTCCCTGTCTCCCAACCCTCAAGGTGAAACCTAAAAATATCTCGAGCAGAGTCTGGAGGGGAGGTGAAGGTCGAGGCTGGGGTTTTAAGAAGACTCCGTCAATGGCTGCCCACGTGAATGTGTCAGGCTCAGGGACCCAGCGGAACGCCAGCCCGGGCACCCCTGCCGTCCTCCCGCCCTCCTCCTCCTCCTCCTCCTCCTCCTTCCAGCGCGAGCGGGCGGCGCGCTCCGGAGGGAGAGCGGGGCTGAGGCTTCCTGCCCCCTCGGCGGCCGAACCTGCCCCCTCGACGCGCCGCCCTGAGC